TACATTACTCCATCTGTAACAGAGCGACTATAGGACCAGTTTGATAGAAAACAGTTTCATAAAATATATATAATTAAGGGTCCCTGCTCCATCTAGCCAGCAGTTTGGGGGTTAAGTTCAATTAATTATTATTACTATAAATGGTTTTGAGCGCCCCACAGCCAATGACACTCTGGGGGAGAGCCTTAGATAGCTCCACTTCAAACCTTCAAATCAACAAATTTATGTTTGTTTTTTTATCTTTAACTTATATACAGTAATGTGACCGAGATAAAGGCGTTATAATAAAGCAGGGGAAACAGTTAATATATAATTACCTTCATGTCGTTCATGATGAGCTGGAAAAGCCCTCCCAAGGCGCTGCATTCCTTCTCTATACCCGAATCCATTTTTCCACGGAAAAAAATCCTCCTCAACCTCCAAACAAAACTTTTATTTTTACCTCTTTCAGTAAAGAAAAACAAAGATAAAACCCTTTCAGGGTGTTTATGTATCTATCTCCAACAGAGTATAGTAGAGGAGGCTGGGTTGGAGCTCTCTGGGGGAGAAAAAGTTCACCTTTCAAAGAAAAAACGCTTTAATCCGGAGGAAGGAGAGCAGCTCTGCCGTTAGGCTGCAGTCAGCCGATGCTAGCAGCCGGCCAACTGGATAAACCAGCCGGAGAAAACCTCATCATGAACGGGGTCTCCAGCACACTCCACACCGAGCTTTTTCAGGTTAAATCCAGCAGCCCCCCCTTCCCCTGCCTGCTAACCAGGCTAGCTCAGTTAGCCTCAACTCCGCTAGCAACCTGTGACCGTGAGCGGGTCCAGTCCGAACGGACCCACGTTAGAGGCGCGCGGTTCGGTCCGGTTCAATCACTGCGACCAGAGTCATCGGTTCGGGTCTTATCTAAGCTCCGGGGGACGTTAATAATCGTCGGTCTTCCTCTCCAGATGTGCGGCGGGGCAATTCCGTGATGTTTTCCAGCGAGTTTTGGGCCACGGCGACGGTCGCGTTCCTATCGGTGCTCCAACAGGAGCCCTAACCTGAACAGAATGAGATCCTCTCCGAGACTGCGCCAAGTCACGCGAGTTTACAGACATCACATCCGCTGGGGACTTTCAAAATAAAAGTTCGCTACCAATAAGGAAGAAATTCTTTTTCTACAACGCATTTACTGATACAAATAAAAAGTAATTCAAAAGGATGAAAAAAAAATATTAAAACAGGCCAATAAGTTAAAGCGTTGCAGGATAGTAGGTCTAATAGACACACTGACAGACATACAACAAAGAGAGTTTCATAAGGCTTTAAAGCCAACTTTTCCAGTTTTCAGGACCTTTAGTTGAGGTGTATCAGTCATACACTGCAAAAATGTGAATCTAAATAAGTAATTTCTTCTTAAAAGAAGTTTATTTTTATTTTTGTTCTATTGAGGTAAGTGAAACGCTTTGCCAATGGGACAAGATCATTTACATTTAATATAAGAAGAAACAATTGCATTGTCTTATTTCAAGTGGAAATTATCTATCAATCTTATTCTAGGAGTAAAAATGCTAATTCCATTGCCAAATAATCTTGTTTACCA